AGCCGTGCTCTGAGCCCGACCAGGGGCTGCACCTAGGGATTGGGCCTGCCCTCTGCCACCCGGGAGCAGGCCTAAGCAAGCAGGGCGTTATCTCCCGAGGGGTCCCAGACTGTGAGAGGGCACAGGCCAGGCTGAGGGACCCCCCCTTCCCCTTGAGTGCACAAATTTTTGTGCACCGGGCCTCCTGTACATTATAAACAATTTTATGCTTTCCAAATTAGATAGCATAGATAAAATAGAAAAATTCATAAACTATGAAAACTAACTCAAAGAAAAAATGGACAACTAAATAGACCTATCTATACTAATAAAAGGGCAATACACTAATTAGACCAGATGTCTTCCAGATGTCCTTCCAGACAAAACTCACAGAGGCAGAGGATATTAGGGGCAATCTGGCTGGCAGGGGAGAGCAGTTAGGGGCGATCAGGCCAGCAGGGGAGAGCAGTTAGGAGCAATCAGATTGTCAGGGGAGAAAGGTTAGGGGTGATCAGACAGGCAGGCAGAGGTGAATAGGGGTGATTCAGACAGGCAGGCAGAATAGTTAGGAGTGATCAGGCAGGCAGGCAGAGGGGTTGGGGGGATCAGGCAGGCAGGCAGATTGGTTAGGGGTGATTAGGCAGGCAGGCAGATGAACGGTTAGGAGCCAGTGGTCCTGGATTGTGAGAGGGATGTCCAACTGCTGATTTAGACCCGATTCCTGCAGTTGAACATCCCCCAACGGGTCCCAGATTGGAGAGGGTGCAGGCCAGGCTGAGGGCCCCATGCCCCCTGTGCATGGATTTCATGCACCTGGCCTCTAGTAATATATAAAGGGATTAAATTTCTAATATAAAACACTACCTACAAAGAAAACCTAAAGCCCAGATTCTATCCAACATTTTAGAAATATTAATAGCAACTCTTCACAGACTCTTCCATAAAATAGATGAGGAAAAGCACATTCTAATTTATTCTATAATGCCAGTATTGTCCTGATACCAGAATATAAAAAGATAACACAATAAAGGAAAACCTCAGATCAATATCTCCTACAAATATGGATGCAAAAATCCTCAACAAAATACAGTTGGTCCTTGGGTTATGTCAGAGATCCCTTCCTATGGTGCGATGTAACACAATTTTCACCATAAGCCACCTACATAAGCACCTTCATCACTCACATGGAGCACATACACAGAGGTAATGAAGTAAATCAGTAAAAAAAAATTAAAATAAAGATGACCTTTACTTATGGTAAATAAATAATGAAAACCATAAAGCACATATGTACATACAAGGGTAAATACTATATTATCCTTACCTTTACTATTGTTGTTGGCTTGCACACTGGACGTTGCAAAGGGAGGAAAGACAGGCTTACACAAGGCTCCTTGGGGGAGAAGGTCTGAGAGGCAGAACCTACAGAAGGTGCATGAGATACTGGGGCAGGTGAGTCTGGAGAGGCATATGAGGTAGAAGGTATGGGATCTGTTGCAGGCCTCTCTATCTTCTTAAAATAAAGTCGGAGGCTAGTCTGGAAGGATACCTTCTTCTTGTCCTCCCAAATCTCCTTATAACACCGCAGGCTACCCATTACTCTTCTGGCAACCGTAGTCTACCTGTCAATGTTGGGGTCCTGAGCCTCAAACCTTGCCAAGGCATCCTCTATCATGGCAAAGGCCCCTGTTAATTCCTTGCTTATAAATCTCCTAGGCTCTGGGGTTGGTGTGTCTTCCTCTTCAATTAATTGTTGTTTCAGTTGAATGAGGTCCTTGGTAGATAGCTCCTCTCCATGAGATGCCAGCAGCCCTGTGACATCCTCAGCCTCCACCTCCAAATCAAGCTGCTTACTCAACTCAACAGCATTCTTTATTATTACTGTTTTATTGCTTAAAGTGTGACAAAGAGTATTACATATGTCTCCTTTTTTTCCCGCCCTTGACAATCCCCTGGCCTCCCCTACCCCCCAGTGTCTTATGTCCATTGGTTATGCTTATATGCATGCATACAAATCCTTTGGTTGGTCTCTTACCCCTCTCCCCCAGAGATTCAGTTCTTAATGAAGCTGCTCAAATACTGCAATTGCTACATATAGAAGAGCTCAGAAAGCTACAGACACAAATAAAGAAATAGTATCTG